CTAACTTCTTCATTAATCACTTCAAAACTATAACCACCATGAATATTTCTAAAATCTTCTACCACTTTACCGACATGTCCATTTAAATCTCTTCCAAAAAAAAATATTTTTTCAAGAGGTATCATTTGTATTAAGTCTTCTAAGTCATTCCAGAATTTTCTTTAGCACCTATATCTAAAACTACTTGAGGAGCATAAACACTTATAATATTAAAAATCTTAGTATTAACAATAATCTTAAGAGCTATAATTCTATCAAATTCTATTAATTTTTATAAAATTATTTTTCAAACTCTTATCTATACTTATTACACCTGCACCATTTCTAGTGTGACTCTTACCTGAATATCAAAATTTAAAACCCAAGTTATCATTTTCCTTAGCCTTTTCTCCAACCGATTTAGTTTCTTGAATATATAAAATATTTATCTTCTATAAATCATAATCTCATTTAATTTCATTAATTTACCAGTGATATTACTTATATTCCAAGATTCTAAACTAATATTAGCTTTATTGAGAAACTTCTTTATCCGCATCTATCCGTAATGTGAGAACTCTTGCTTATTTGATACTACACCCGGACGCTGGTGTAGCGCCCTTTGCGCAATTTTTCACTATATTCAGGTCAAACAACACATTGCTGCCAGGGGACGCCCTAGTCATTACACAATGATCAACATGATTCATGTCATGATTTTTCAACAAATTTTAAGTTGGCTGACAAAAGATAAATGTAATCCTCCACTTTTTACATCCGGGTCTTGGGACTCGACAATAACAGTATAAAAAAGCCTATGGCCTAAATTATAAAAGCCTTTTAAACAAATGTCAAAAAATAAGCAAACATGCATGACAGTACTAAGCATGGATTGTTTACAGTTCTAAGAATCATTTGAGACCACTATAACATAGGATTAATACAAGTTATCAAATCAAATAACTGCCCAAACTTCAAAGATCAAGAAGTACTTAAAACAATAAAGGTTCATTGAATGATAAACCAAAATTAATGCAAAGAGTCAGCATTTCTAATAGTTACAGAACACAAATTTGCACAATTAAAAATAGATGAACTATTTTGCCTACAAAATGTTATCCAAGTAAGAAACCATGCATAGTAGAGATAATTCAAAGTTGAGAAATTTAGATGCATACCACACAATTCTTTTCTATTTATATCTATCTTCAAAAGTTTTACATTGACATTCATAACACTGATGTTATAAACCTATACATGAAAATGTGCATGCCACTTTTAAAAATTAAGTAATAGTGATTTTTTTGTGATATTAAAGATTTGAGTGCTATGCATGTAAACATAAATATTTAGGTGCTAGATATGCGCACAAGAATTGTGTAGTATGTATTTAAATGCCCCTTTAAAATTTTATGGAGATTAAAAAAAAAAACTTTTAGGAGATACCAGAGCTTTTACATGAAATATTTAAAAATAAAAAATTTTGACGCCATCCCCAATTAAAATGATTCTATTATAATATATCACATGTTAGAAAAATAAACCTTGGAATTTTAAAGAGCATCAAGGCATCAAAGTTAGCATGTTCAGTTGTTCTCCTTTGAGGAGAGGAGAAAAAAGACCAACAAATCTTATATAAATCTTGGTGTTGACATCTAGAGTCAAATTTCATGTTGAGGGCGTGTATTACTCTTATTAGTAATTGAAATGTTCATGTTATTGGCAAAAACAAAAAACAAAGTTGGCGGGCATTAAAATTTATTGATGGTGTGCTTGAACATTATAGTTGACCACGTATATTAACATTATCAAAGACAAAGCCAGTGAATTTGGCATTTGTGTCGACAACAAACATCAACCATATTAGAAACATTGGCAATAATGAGGGCGGCTTCACATTTGTATCGATCATGTACATCAACCATATAAATGATTGCGTGCTTCAATGTTGTTGGCAATACAAGTGAAAAAAAAATAAAATACATTGGCATTTATGTGAACAACATATATCAATATCAAATCCCATGTCGTCTGTCAATATTATTGGCAACATTAAGCCAACAGAAAATGATAGTCAGACGATAGTGATTAAGACATCGTAGTTAGGCCATAGTGATCAAAGGATTGTGATTGGATGATGATGATCAAAAGATCATAATCGAGTGGTGGCGGTTAAAGATTGATGGCAGACGATAATAGTTTTATACCAATAATAAGATGACAATAGTCAGGGGATCATATTTGAGAGATGGTGGTCAAAACACGACAATTGAACAATGGAAATCGAAAGATTAAAATCGGCAAATGACTATGTAGCAGTGATCGTCAACGACAATTATTGAGTGTAGTTCAGAGATTTTTAGAATCCACTTTCTCTCCAATTTTAAGTCAAAAGTTTATGTCCTCTTTCATAAGAAGAATAAAGCCTATTTATGATTTTTGGGGGCATCACTTTATTAAACCTAGCAATAATCTCAAAATAATTCATTAGACGACTTTGTGAGTCCTCCGATTATAGACTAGTTTGTCAATATTTAAGCGTCTCAATGATCTTAGAATGAAGTGACCTTATAAACATTGAGTTGCATCCACGGAGATACTCGTTTTGACTATAAGCTTAAAAAAAAAAGTTTAGTTCATCTAATTAATTTTTAAGAGCACTTCAAATATTTGATTTGGGCCCATTTGGAGTCGAATTGTATCACATTCAACATCATTTTAGAGTCTCATTCTATGAAATTGGGTTAGATGACACTATAATTTTTCTCTTCTTATTTTAAAAACAAAGGAAGCGGATTTCAGTGAACAAATGAAACCTAATTTAATTTCCAGAGTGAGTTGAACAGGAAAAAAAATGGAGGTCGATTAATGCAAGGAATCTACAAAGAAAATTGGTTTAAGATAGGATGATTATTTAAAGGTTTAACATGGACAAAAAGTGAATTCAAATATGTTTTTTATCAAGAAAATAGTTATAGACTAATTTTAGTAAAGGTTAGGTAAAAAAGAAAAGATATTTAGGATTAGTTTGAGGGCGTTCACCCAAAAAAGAAAAAAAATAATTACTGCAAAGGTATATCATTGGTTTTTGGCTTAAAAAACAGTTCATTGTCATGGGATGATTATTTCATCAACAGTTGAAACTTCACAAGATATCAATGAAATCAAGTGCAAAATAGCAAGCAAATCACATGGATAACAATTGATGATATGCCAGGTGAAAAGCAAACAATGTGGAGAAATTTTGATACCTTAATGCATGAGATAAGAGGAATCTAATGAAGAGGAACAAACAAAGTAAAGAGAACAAAAAGAAAGACTTGGAAGAATAAATGAATGAAAGCATAAAGGGAAGGAGGTAAGGGTAAGGAGTGAGAAAACGAAGATTCTTATGGATTTGAGCAAGAGAACCGATCAAACCCCAAAATGAATGTCAAAAGAAAGCCATTCATTTCATGTGAAGTACATTGATTTAGGCATTATTTATAATAATACACCTTTCCAAATAATGACAAAATAACCATTCAAATAAATATAACAAGCTAGTCCTAAATTCCAAATGATATTTAGCCACCAAAACTTAAAAGACAAATAGGAAAAATAGCTTGGAAATGGCATATTCAATGATGCTAAAAAAATTAAAATTTCATAGCTGAGTGAAATAGATGACTCACCCTAAATCATAGACACTAAGAAGCCGTTTGGGATCTCTTTCTATTTTTATTTTTAGTTTGTACAGTTTTTGTTTCAACAAAAACAAAAACAATTTGGTTATGGTTATGATTTTTTTTTTGTTTTTTAAAATAAAAAGAAAAAAAAATTTGAAAAACAAAAATAAGAAAATATAATTATCCCCTCCAACTCCTCCTTCTCTTGCACTCTCAACCCCCTACCACACCGCCGCGCCCCCCCGCCGCGCCGACCCCCTTGGTTTGCTCTCCTCTATTCCTCAACCGTCGCAGCCAAAAGCAACCCAAGCTTCTCCGCCGGGAAAAGCACCTGACTCTTTTCTGCCACAACTGTACCATTGAAGCCAACGGGCTCCGCTTTGCTCTCTTGCGCCACTTCTTATCCCTCGAACACCGCACTCGCCAGAATCACGGTGATGGTTGCTGGCTGGCAGTGCAAAGTAAAAAGAAGAGGAAGAGCAAAAAGAGCGGAAGAACAAGAAGATAAAGCACTACCGTCGAAGAAGAAGCCATCAAAGAATGCATCGAAGTTGGCGGGGATCGGCGTCAGTGTCGGCGTCACCGACAAAAAAGGCATTAGCGTCGTTGGCAAAGAAGGCATTTGCGTCAAACAAGGCACCGGAGATGGGAAGTCACAATCGTGATCAGGAATAGGATAGATTGGGAGCTATTTTGAAAACATTAAAAACAAGTTTTCCTATTTTTTATTTTTGAAAAATAAAAATGTATTTGTTTAAAAACAAAATAACAAAACATATGAAAAAACAACACGAAACAAACATTTTTTTATTTCATTTCCTGTGTTTTAAAAACAAAAAAGCTAAAAACAGTTTCAACCAAGGCCTAATAATCTTCTCGTTGAATAATTCATTTTAATCGTCAAGAGAAGTCACCAACAGTTAATAACAAAATGTAGAAAGACCAATAACAATGAGCTAATACTGCCTATCAGCAGGCTTCAAACCTTTAAACTTGATCAACTAATCATAACAAAACATTAATTAATAATGAATTAGGTATTTAATCAAATTAGTCAATCCAAGAAGATTATATAAAACCAAGACCATGATGGAGTACATCAAATGATGTAAAAAAAAATCTAATTTAGAAAAAAAAATCGTCTAAAAAGCACACGTCACCTGTAAAGCAATTCCTCATTGTAAAACATTTAACCAAGAATAGCAACTCCAAAAGGATGTGTACTGAGGTGAAATGGCAATAGAAACAAATGTAATATTGAAGTACCAGTATAATTCTGAAATAAACCGAATCCAATTGCAACTAATGCTCCCCACTATATTTTATTTGCTAAACATCATGCATGAGATATATCAAAATACATGCTAAGGGAGAAAAAGCAACAATCGAAAAGGGCATCGTTTCAGTAAGTCTTCCTTCAATCAAAATGTGAAATCCCAAGCTAAGTTTGAATAACCAAAAGAGTAAAAGAAATGTCCAGCCTTTTATGGGTAGCCTAGAAAAGAAACGATTTATTCTGAAATGAATTTTGCAGAGTCAGACATAATAGCAAAATTAATATTGAGAACCTCCAAGCGCTTTTGAAGGACAAGAAATGCTGCCATCTTTATGAATTGACCAGTCAGGCAGAACGGATGTACACAAAAATAATATTGAGAATGCCATTAACATGGTTTTTAAGAGAAATTCCAACTTTCATTCCATAGAAAGCCATGTCAACACGACAATATGCATGCCTTCTTTTCAAATACTCGCAAACAGACGTTCCATCAGCTTAGCAAAACTTCCAACCCAAAAGTTCTAACAACAGCTTAGAGAGAATCTGTAAGTACACGTGGAGCAGTTCCTATAAAAATCATTGATCTTTGCTCTGCAGGTGTTACTGAGGGGAAAAAAATTCCAAAATTGCGTTAGAACATAAAACACACTAGTTAACTGTATAAGTTGTTCAAGTTGACAGTTTTCAAGCTTAAGATTTGCGCATTAAAAATATTGTAAAGAAAGACTGCATAAAATAAAAAAGAAAATGGCAATTTGATAATAAAATCAAACATCCATGCAACTTTTCAACATACTCTAATCATGGATCTTGCAGAGGGTCACAGTCAGAAAAATAACTTTCTCCAGTTACAAGAAAAGAAAGGGAAAAATAACCAAAGAAACACTAAGCAAAGAGCATTGCCATTCTATTTATGCAAGTACAACTAAAGCACTAGCATATAAAGAAAGAGGATTTATAAATTAGCCCACACTTAAGAGGACGTGCTTACCAGTTAATTTGCTAGTTATCACTATATTTTGAACTTCAACCCAAGCATCAAGTAGCTTATTTCCTGCCATGTAAGATGTAAAATAGAATACAAATATCCAATGTGTATAATTGAGGAAATACACGAATGCAAACCTTGGTTAGTTGCTACTATTTCCAGTTCAGCAATTTGTTATCCATTAATGTGCGTCACTAGTTGGAAGAGATAAAAAATCAAATGATGGTCATACCTAACTTGTGCTGAACTTGTTTTGAGGAAATTATAGTTTCTGAAGGAAATTGGAGTTGAAATATTAATAAATATCTTGGCACTTCGTATGAAAATAAAAACTGTATGACGCTTCTGCATAGTTAATGTAGCACTTTCTAATTTGAAATGTTAAAGGTATCCACAGGAAAATACCTTAAACACAACATCCTCATCTCTTCCAGAATTGCAATTTATGCAGGTGCAGCAACCGCGACAGACGGGACACGACATCTTGATTTCAAGTATGGATAACTCAGATGGCCTACAACATGCAAAAACGGGTTTGTATTTTTAATATCTTATAGCTGCGAAACAATAAATGAAGTCCTCAAAAGAATTAATAGCAGAAGAAGTATCACGGTGGCATTGTTAACATTATGAAAACCGTTTGAATTTCTATCAGCAACCATTTGTAGATTAAGGTTTGAGTTTTAGCCAGAGTAAATAGAATATGTTAAGAGACTAAGATTATCATGCTTGAGCAATTCAAAATCATCAGTCATCAGTCCAGTGTGCTGAGCACTACAATTTTGTAGTTCTTCACCAATCTTTCCAAATTGAAGTTCATTTACGCCCAATTTCAAAATAGATTTTTTTTAAATAACTTATAATAGTGATTGGGCGTTTTAGTATAAACATTGAAGCAGAAAAATAGAAATCGTACAGAAGCGAGTTGGGTTTTAAAAGCAGTACTCAGTTGCCTTGTTTAAAAAAATGCTCGAGGCGTGCCTTGCACTAAGGCACATAAAAAATAGCTCGAGACTTAATTTTCTCTATCATTGGTGAGGCTAAAGCCTTTTTTTGCTCGAGGCATACGCCTTAAGCATTTTGAGGCAATGCCTCATCAGGTTATGTAAAACAAATATATAATATTATATTTTATTATATTATACTTACATATAATACAACTGAGACTACACCTAGAAAATATTAAAAGGTAATTTAAGTATGATTATTTGGTTGTGTTATTGATTTATTATTTTATTTTAAATTATATATGGTCTAATGTTAATTAATATGGGGAGCAAATTAAAATATAGTGATTGAAGAAGACTTAGAATATACGAACAAGAGAGAATCAAATGATAATAAAATTGTTACATGTGATGATTCTTTTGAAAATAATAAAATTAAAGAAGAGGTTGTAGATCTCAATCTTCATGATCTATTTAAAATTTAAATGAATGCTTACTTTGAATTTCACTTCAAACTTTAATTTCATATTAATATTTAAGATTTAAATTTGTAGGTTATGACCTTTTGGAAATAAACAAGATCAATATATTAATGATTCATATCATATTTCTGAAGTATTCTTAATTTAGAGTTTTTTTTTTTACTATTTTGAGGCTTACACCTCGCTTCGCTAAGACAATCAATATATTAATGATTCACATAATATTTTTGAAGTATTTTTAACTTGGATCATTTTTTATTATTTTAGCCGACCCCACGTAGTGGGATTAAGGCTTTGTTGTTGTCGTTGTTGTTTGAGACACACGCATCGCTTCACTAATACAAAAAAAACCTTAATTTTCAATTTCACCATTTATATGTCACTCTATGGCACATGCTAGGTATATAATTTGCAAGACCATAAGACATTCTTGTGAGAAAAAATCTACTTGTTTATACGAAAGCATCTACTATAAAAGAAAATGAAGAATACATAAAATAACCACTACAGAAAAAAACAAGTCAAACATAATCACCAAATTCATGTGATTCAGCCAAAATAAATGCCTGCCATCATCAAAGAGAATAGAACTAATCACATGTGGCCACATGAGTTTGTGTGGTTTCAATGAAGGAGCAATTGGTAGAGACCTTCATATCAATACTATTCAGATCCATAAATTTATTAATCTCGTTATCTGTGGTTACAATATTGTTAAAGATATTAGAAAACCTTTTAATATGTTTGATTTGAGAAATTTGGGGCTTCTTTTATGACTAAGCTTATGAATAAATAAATTTTGTGAAGATTAGTTTATTGTTCTATTTGACATGGTCATTACATATTTTCTTAATAAGTGATCATCCAAATAATCAGACAAAGTCACATCTCAATCTCTTTCATCACCAAAATCATAAAATATCTATCTAAATTGCCTCAAAACTTCAACACAATGCCACAATACCTTATTTAATGCAAACCACTATGTTATTAAATTCAACCCATGACCTTACACAAGAATAGAAAGCGCTCCTAGTTAAATGAATTCAACGTTGAATAAAAAAGTTCCATGCAAACAAGTTTGAATGCTATGCAGCATAGTGAGCCCATCCAATATCTGTCAAATTCATATCAATTCTCTCTCTTAACTCAAGATAATAAAATTATATTCATGATCTCCTCTGTGATTTCTCTCCAACTTGGGCGATCTAAGATCGTAAAGTAAAGAAGGGTTGAGAGAAAGCAAACATGAAAAGCACAAAATGAATATTTGACACCTTTGAGAGACTTTTAAAACACACCCATTGCACATCAATATGAATCCACCAACACCAAAAGTGAATTTGCCTCTTAATCTTCTTCATTCAAAATGGTTGCCTTCTTAGTCAAAATGTTGCAATGGTAAAACTTGACATTAAGACAAACTAAACTGATCATCTCTAATGGTTTTCCCCTAACTAGAGCTGCAACCACAAAAATATAACTTTTTTCTTCACCAAATCAATGTGCCCCAGCAAAGATGATGATAAAACTAACATAATATCATTGTAGGTGACTAAGGCATAACATCAAAAACTTAGTGGACCATTGCAATCTCTTCTTATTCTAAACAAAAATTAGACGAGATTATAATGAATTTTATGGTTGGTTTGCCTATAACAATATAAGGCTATGAAGCAACTTGATATTGTAGGTGACTTTCAAATAGATTTAAAAGTTATATTCCTCTCTCGAGGAGAATTTTATTTTTTAAGAGAAACATTTTTTTATTAAGGTTGTTATTCTTGATATTTATATCAAGTTTTCAGATATTTGCAAGCTTAATCCTACCTTTATTACTTAGCTATTTATTATATATATTTTAGTAATTATAACGAAATATAAAATTACCCTAAAACCTATAGTGGCAATATCTATTTTTTATATTTATTATCTCTACTGAATAAAATAAATTTTATTCATATACCTCATTTTTAACATGTTTATAAATATTGCTCTTGTTGTTTATAAAACACATGTTAAATACAAACATATGATATAGAAAAATTATATGCCTACGTGTGTAACGGTGTGTAGTTAGACATTGATTAATTAGTCAGATGGGTTCATAAGTTAAAAACAATTAAAATCATCGAATTTTTATAGGTTGGTGTTTACCTTCTCAATTTATTGGCATCTTAATAGAATTTATAATATAAATGTATACAGCTATACTATAAAATGATAAATGATTGGTGAGTCATCTTTGGATATATATGATTACACCTGCCAAGCTTGTATATGAATATATTAGTGTAAAAATTCATTGTTTATAATTTATCATTTAAATGATCATGAATATTAGAATATTAGAAATCATTTTAGAATATATGACACTTGTCACTTATATAGTGCAATAGTAATTCAACTTGATGATGTAAAAACAAAATATAAATATGCCTCTTTTCTTGTCCAAGTTGCAAAATGTAATACTTTATTGTCTATGCTTCAATAAATAAAAGTTATTAATTGAGTTTAAATCATACAACTCATTATAAGTAATTTTTTTATTGTAGGTTCAATCAGATTGCTTGATGGATCATCATCATAAGAGCTAGCCTTTTAAAAATTTTGAGCTTATGTAGTAAATTTATTTGTGTTTATATTGGATTGGGGAAGTTTGTCCACGTAATTGTTGCTCCAATTCTTTTTTTCAATAGTTGTTAATTTCACTTCTTTGTTGCATTATTATTATGGATTCTACAACAACAACAACAACAAGCTTTTATCCCACTAAGGGGGTTTGGCTACATGAATCATTTTTCTCCATTGTGTCCTATTGAATGTCATATTTTCATTTAGTTCTAATAAATTAAATTATTATGAATTCTACTAAAGCAATAAAATAGTATTCACTTTTAAATCAATTTTAACTTTGAAATTTATTTAAAGTGTTAAGGTTATCAACTTCATTGTGTCCTGTGTTATTGAAGTGTGCCACTTTTCGGACCCCGGGTGTGACAACAAATATGAGAACCCTTTCTTTTGCATTGTATTGCCACTTTCTCCAATTATTAGGTAACTTCATATTTGTGGAAGTTGTTCAATTAGACAAAACCTGGCCGTTATTCCTTTCTTTGGTTTTTCAGACTATATGATGTATGCCAACCTTCTACTTGATTGATGCTAGATCAAAAGATACCAAGGATGACTGGTTTAGTTCCAACCAACAAGTAAAAAGAATGAATAACCAATTTTGCAATGGAAGTATCCAGGGATGATTACAATTGCAAAAATACTGATCAAAGAGAGAGACAACTTCATATCCAGGATTGCAAATTCATGAATATGACGACATAGAGAGTAAATAGAACCTGACCAAGCGTCAATGCAAGTTGCGCAGAAGAGCTCCTGGCAATTAAAACAACGGATCCTGCGCTCAACCTTGTTCTCCCCGGCCCTGCAACGATGGCAAACCTGATTTCTGCGACCTACCGCACTCCTGGAAAAAGGAAGCTTCTGCCCAACAAAAAATTAAAAAGAATTAAAATAAAATACGTTTTAGCAAGAAAGGCAGCGCAGAGCGCCAGCTCAACCTTGCCCAAGGGCACTAGCTCAGCATTCTTCGATCTGAAACTCCGTCCAAACAGATGCCCATCATCAGACCCAACCTTCCAATGAAACCAAGGAGATGGATTGGCCGGACCCCTTGCCGGTGCAGGCAAGATCGCCATCACACCATTGGGAAGGTCCCTCGTGACCTCTAGATTGGTGGCCTCTATCCCTTCATACCTCTCCTCCTTCCGCGTTGCTCTGATCGGTTCTTCCCCGGGCAGCTGCCTCTTCAGCCGCTGCCGCTGCCGCCGCCGCTTCCTCGCCAGTGACTGATTGGAAGCAAGGCCCAACCCCCGCTTGCGCTTAGCGCCCGAAGCCAATTTGCTGTTTTTCCTTTTTCCTTGGTTGCGCTGCAACTGGAGGAAATGATACTCGCAGAAGCCAACGCTAGGCATTGAAAGTTGAGGGCACCGCCATTTTCGTCCGTCGGATCGCCGACACCGAAGGTGATCCGGTAGAGAGGTGCTCTTCATCGAAGGCTGCAGATCCCCGGCAAGCTGCAGCATACAGGTGGGCTTGGCGGCCGCCTCCTTGTTTCTGTTGTCCTCCTCTTTGAACCACTGTGGGTCGACGTCACTAACATGCAGGTCCGGCGTAGTCGGCTTGACGGCCTCCATTTCTTCCGAACTGGGGCTCGGCAGCATCCACTTCCTCCTCCCATGGCTCCGACTCGTCGTTTTTACTGTCGTTCTCTTTGCAGCACAACAGGTCGTCATCGTACAAATTTAGTTCAGGCGTGGCCACCTTGTCGGCCTTCAACCCCTCGTCATTATGTTCGATCCTCATTGGATCCTCTGCCGGCAGCTTCCCTACCCCCCACCGCCGACTCCGCATTGTCGACTGCTGCGGATCGACAAGAAATTGAGATCCTCGCTCGGGCTTGGCGACCTTTACCCTGGTGTTCTTGTTGTAGGTCTGTTTACAGCGCATATGGTGATACTCGCAAAAACTAAGACCAGAAATAGACGGCTGTGGGCACCGCCACTTCCGTCCGTCGGAACGCCGGCACCGGAGGGTATCTGGAATCGGAAGGCTCAACGTCACCGCAGGATCAGCGCCCTTCATGTCACACCAGCCCTCCTCGCCAGCAAAAATCATCATCCCCTCATCTGCCCTAGTTTCCCCCTTCAGCCGCGGCCTCCGCCATTGACGCTTTATCGACGGCATCAGATCGGCAACAAAGCGTGGACTCCGCCCAGACTTTGGTTCAATTATCTTGTTGTTCTCTTCGTTGAGTCGCTTGCAGCTTAGATGGCGGCGATCGCAGAAATTGCGAACAGGCATAGGTGGCTGCGAGCAATGCCGTTCTCGGCCGTCAGATTGCTGATGCCGAAATTGATCCGGCAAGAAAAGGCCCCTATTCGACTTCAGATAAGGAGATTCTTTCTCCACATCAGCTCCCTCCATTTTCTCTGATAAGACGGGTTCCGCCGCTGAAGGATCCTCCTTCATTCGAATCCGCCGTCTCTTTTTCGACAGTGACGGATCAGTCGTAAAAAGAAGCTTCGGTTCCGGCTCGGTGGCGGCCGCTGCCCCCACTTTGGTGTTCTTATTGTTATCCTGGTTACGGCGTACCTGCTGGTAATGGTACTCACAGAAAGTGAGACCAGATTTGGCCGGCTGCGGGCACCGCCATTGCCGGCCGTCGGATCTCCGGCACCGGAGGTTGTCCGGTAAAGGACTCGCATCGCCGGAAAACAGCCTTTTGCCCATTAACTGCCAAGAAAACCTTGGGCTATTTCCAGATGCAGCACAGAAACAATAGGCGAAAGAGAGATTGTCCGAGAAAAGCCAGGTGAGGCAGTGCGATCAGCACAGCTCCAAAATTTCTCATTGGCTGGCCAATAGAAGATTTCTGCTTTCCGGCTTGTTTTCTCAAAAATGCTCTTTTTGTTTACCTCGAGTTCTTCTAAAATTCATGGTTGCACACTTGCCGTTGATAAAATTATCAGTTGCGGTCAAAGCACCCAGCTCTCCTCTTTCGCGCAGACGCATCCCTTGGACCATTACACTATCTTTATTAATGTACATATCTAACACCTTTTATATTTAAACCAATCAAATATTTCCTATCAGATCAAAAATATATCATTTTAAAAATAAAACACACTTGTTTATGTACATATATAAGGTGTATATATATAAGGTGATATATGTAAAAATTGAAATTTAAATATTATATGCGTATATAAGAATTGAGTGATATGCATGTAAAAGAACTTTGGGATCTTGTCCCGAGCAATAAGATCCTCATGTGTATTGACATACAAGCAAGTAAAAATATATTTTTGTGCAATAGGGATGCACGTTATGAACAAAACCCCAAAGACACGGACACTAGGTCAAAAATTTACAAGGGGGAAAATCAATAGATACACACTTCTTTTTGATGATACCATGCATACTTATTTTTGACAATGACAAATGATGCATGCCTTTATAGTAATTAGTCTCCCCTTTATAAGAAAAATGATTTAATAGGCAATATTTTCGTTTCTTTTTTTTTTTAAGGAATAGTCAGCTTGTCGATCGTGGTATACTTCCATTTCTGAAATAGATCTCTTTTCTAGATCATATGAATGGTCAGGATAAGAGAAAAAATGGAAAAGGAGAAACATATAACAATGACATGTTGACCTCAATTTTGGTAAGGTCTGTCTTCTCTAAAGCCTAGGGTCTAGTCATAAGATTTCTCTAGTGACTTCCTATAAGATTAGTGTCAACCCACACCAATTAAAAACTCTAAAGCCACCTATGGACTCCTTGTAGCCTTATATGTGTGGTTTTAAATCATTAACAACTAGTCGAGCTGATTAAACACCAACACATTGAAACTCAAGACGGGTTCCCATAATAATCAAGGATGTCTTAAGAAGACCATTTCGACTTGAGAATTTAAGGCATCATGCACACACATTACAATTCACATACATTGGGACATCACACACACACACACACACACATACGCCATGCATGCACACACTATTGTTCACACCAAACACACTTAATTTACCATTTAAATTAATTGAATCACGATCACCCCTAATTGAAATTCTAATTAAAATTTAAATTTCTCACACAAAGAAAATGTATATATATATATATATAAGTGAGGAGAAGCTTGAGGAGATGCCTAATAAAAAATTGGCTTCAATATATATATATATCTATTAACCAGAAGAGAGACTTGTTCGGAAAATGAAATTATATAATGATAGACAAGCTACAACTCCTTCAAAAAATTAAAAAAAAAAATAAATAAACAAAAACAACACTCTACGAAGTAGTGCAACGACACAGCCCGAAGATAATGTAACGATGCACCTCAAAGACGATGTGACACTGCACCTGGGATAAGGTGCAATGAAGTGTCCTGAATAAGGTTGTCAAAAAAGCTCGTTATTCGCGAACATATGGTGTTCGACTCATTCATTAAGTAAACGAGTCAAATGCAAACAAATTTTTTAAGCTCAAATTATAAGCAAGTCGAACATGAACAACCCTTTGTTCGCTCATGTTTGGCCGTTTTAACATGAAATAAAGTATATTTATATAACTTTTTATATAACAATATATTACATATATTATTTATATAATAATATACTATATATATTTCTATCCAATTTTAAATCATAATAACTCATGTGATCGTGTGATTCTGTGTCTTCTTTTGCACAAAGTTGATGCAAGTTCGAATCCAATACCTCACATCTATTTTTTTCAATTAATTTTAACGAGTCAATTTCAAGCCGAACATGAACAAGAATATTTAAATTGAGTCGAACACGAGCACGTTGTTTAAGAGCCAATTTTGAACACGGGTCGATTTTGAACACGATCAATTTTGAATGAGTTGAACATGAACCAAGTCTGAGCTCACTCAATCTCAGCTCTTTTACAGCCTTAGCCCTGAATATGGCGCGATGATGCACCAAAAATGGTGCAACACACACCCTGAATATAGTGCAACAATGCGCTTTGCATATGGTGTAACAACACTTCTAGAAGATGGTGTAACAACACACCCCTCAATAACTACTTACAACTATCATACTCATAATACAGTGACATTCTCCAGACTTTTTAAGCTCTTTCTCAGTAGCCCACACCTATAACCTACGTGACCAATTATGACTCATGTGATTCACAACTCACACAACTCTCAACTCTTGCAATAGCGACCCACTGACATTATCTCAGCTCATGTAACTACCGACTTCTATCTCTTCGGCCTACAAACATTATCATAGCTCATGCAGCTTCTGATTTTTAACTTTTACAGCCCGCAGACATTATCGCAGCTCATGCGGCTCCCAACTCTATCCTACAAACGCTATCATAGCTTGTTCAAATCTAGTTTCTATAACCTATTGATGTTATAACGACTTGTGCAGGTCCCGAGTCCAGCCTCTATGAATTATTGATTTTATCACAGCTCGTGCAGCTCCCTAATCTGGCCTATACTTGTGCAACTCCTAATTCTGACCTTTGTGGTTTACATATGTTTTATTGGTTCATCTAGCTCCCAACTCCAGCTTCTACAACCTATAAACGTTATCAGAACTTGAGCAACTTCCAACTCTGACCTCTACGATCTAAGTATGTTATATTAGCTGATGAAGCTCCTAACTAGAGTATATGCATTCTACAAAAGCTATCTCAGCTCATGCAGCTTCCAACTCCGGCCTCTACGGCTTATAGATGTTATCACAAGTCAATCAACTCCCAACTCCAACCCCTACAACCTATGAACGTTTTCACAATTCATGCATCTCCCAACTCTAGCCTCTGCAGCCTGGAGACGTTATTACAACTCCCTACTACAACCTATATGACAAATTACGACTTAAGCAACCCACATCTTATACAGCTCCCAATTATGACATTTCCAGCCCACGAATATTATCGCAACCCACAACTACAGTCAACATGGCTCACAGGCCCTATAACATCCTACTATGGCCTCTGTGGACAACCAATGCTCATGAAGCGACTATCTATGACCCGCATGACCAACTACTATCATGAATTTCAACTACGACCCTCTAAGATAAGCTGACACTATAGCCACCACCTATAACATTCACAATGAACTATTGTCTCCAGATCAATTAACTACAACTCTTGCAAAATTTTACATCCAAAAATTAGATTCATTACAACAAGATAACGATTATTATTGGTGAACTATTATTGTACAAATTTATAACTCCATCTTCTCCAATTCAAGAGAAGAGTGAACCTATGTACTCACTGTTGCATAGTGTATTATTTCAACTCGGCCAAGCTCAATGATTTTTCCACTTTTTAGGATTTTTCACATAAAAAACCAAGACGTCTCCTCCTACATGCTTCTTTTTTATTATATGAGTATGTGTTAGAGTCTCCTACAATGCAAATAAACTAAATATTCATTCTACTGTTGTAGATCTTCCAACACCCATCAATTTATTAGATATATAAACATATAGTAATGTACTTATGGAAATCATCCTTATAATTATTAACCACGTTATTGTCATTTTTATTTCTTTGCACCGTACAGTTAAAAAAATAAAAGAAAGAAAAAAAACTATTCAGAGATATGCAAAACATCAAACTTAAAAGAAATGTAAGGAAAGTACTAACGCACACCTATGACCATACCCTTAAGATCAAATTAAGATATGTACACAACAATGTACATGTATTTTTTATGGTATATGTACGTGATAAAATCCGATTAAGGTTTGCGCAATATGCAATTGCTTTTCTTTGAAGTTATTTCATTTTCTCTATTATACAAAATTATGTAATTCCTCTTTAATCTCAAATTAAGTGTGCATACAGCTCCGTCCATATATATTTTGCAAACTATTTTCATCTATTTTAGCTTAAGATGAATATAAGATATATAAAAAGTGCTTAAATAAGAATATCCAATTTAACCGATTAACACATCATCTACACATGCATAAAATTTTTTATGTAGTATGCAAGTTTTTGATGTGTTTTATAAATAATAAATACAATGCTATTTATAAAACAAAACCTGAGTTGCACAAATAAGATTCATTGCATCCCATATAAGTATAGCACATACAAATAAATATTGATAATACTTCCCAAAAAATTATCTTAAGGTTTGTTTAGAGCAATTCCAATTATTTGAAGAAGCAATTGTAAAGATCTTGAAGAAGAAACTATTGTTCAAAAGATCAGAGTGACTCATTATCGCAGCTCATGCGGCTCCCAACTCTATCCTACAAACGCTATCATAGCTTGTTCAAATCTAGTTTCTATAACCTATTGATGTTATAACGACTTGTGCAGGTCCCGAGTCCAGCCTCTATGACTTATTGATTTTATCACAGCTCGTGCAGCTCCCTAATCTGGCCTATACTTGTGCAACTCCTAATTCTGACCTTTGTGGTTTACATATGTTTTATTGGTTCATCTAGCTCCCAACTCCAGCTTCTACAACCTATAAACGTTATCAGAACTTGAGCAACTTCCAACTCTGACCTCTACGATCTAAGTATGTTATATTAGCTGATGAAGCTCCTAACTAGAGTATATGCATTCTACAAAAGCTATCTCAGCTCATGCAGCTTCCAACTCCGGCCTCTACGGCTTATAGATGTTATCACAAGTCAATCAACTCCCAACTCCAACCCCTACAACCTATGAACGTTTTCACAATTCATGCATCTCCCAACTCTAGCCTCTGCAACCTGGAGACGTTATTACAACTCCCTACTACAACCTATATGACAAATTACGACTTAAGCAACCCACATCTTATACAGCTCCCAATTATGACATTTCCAGCCCACGAATATTATCGCAACCCACAACTACAGTCAACATGGCTCACAGGCCCTATAACATCCTACTATGGCCTCTGTGGACAACCAATGCTCATGAAGCGACTATCTATGACCCGCATGACCAACTACTATCATGAATTTCAACTACGACCCTCTAAGATAAGCTGACACTATAGCCACCACCTATAACATTCACAATGAACTATTGTCTCCAGATCAATTAACTACAACTCTTGCAAAATTTTACATCCAAAAATTAGATTCATTACAACAAGATAACGATTATTATTGGTGAACTATTATTGTACAAATTTATAACTCCATCTTCTCCAATTCAAGAGAAGAGTGAACCTATGTACTCACTGTTGCATAGTGTATTATTTCAACTCGGCCAAGCTCAATGATTTTTCCACTTTTTAGGATTTTTCACATAAAAAACCAAGACGTCTCCTCCTACATGCTTCTTTTTTATTATATGAGTATGTGTTAGAGGCTCCTACAATGCAAATATACTAAATATTCATTCTACTGTTGTAGATCTTCCAACACCCATCAATTTATTAGATATATAAACATATAGTAATGTACTTATGTAAATCATCCTTATAATTATTAACCACGTTATTGTCATTTTTATTTCTTTGCACCGTACAGTTAAAAAAATAAAAGAAAGAAAAAAAACTATTCAGAGATATGCAAAACATCAAACTTAAAAGAAATGTAAGGAAAGTACTAACGCACACCTATGACCATACCCTTAAGATCAAATTAAGATATGTACACAACAATGTACATGTATTTTTTATGGTATATGTACGTGATAAAATCCGATTAAGGTTTGCGCAACATGCAATTGCTTTTCTTTGAAGTTATTTCATTTTCTCTATTATACAAAATTATGTAATTCCTCTTTAATCTCAAATTAAGTGTGCATACAGCTCCGTCCATATATATTTTGCAAACTATTTTCATCTATTTTAGCTTAAGATGAATATAAGATATATAAAAAGTGCTTAAATAAGAATATCCAATTTAACCGATTAACACATCATCTACACATGCATAAAATTTTTTATGTAGTATGCAAGTTTTTGATGTGTTTTATAAATAATAAATACAATGCTATTTATAAAACAAAACCTGAGTTGCACAAATAAGATTCATTGCATCCCATATAAGTATAGCACATACAAATAAATATTGATAATACTTCCCAAAAAATTATCTTAAGGTTTGTTTAGAGCAATTCCAATTATTTGAAGAAGCAATTGTAAAGATCTTGAAGAAGAAACTATTGTTCAAAAGATCAGAGTGACTATTGCAATTTTTTTTTCTTTTTGAAAAAATCAGACCTCAACTTTCTATCAGCCACCGCAGATAGTCAAATATAGTGGCAAAACACAACTTTTAGTTATAGCTTTCTGAGAATACAAAAAAATAATAATAATACCAAACAAAAAAAACTACGGTGCGGCGCTGCACCGCCACCACATCATCTCCGCAAACACACCCTTAAACACACATGAATCTCGATGCACATTGAGACCGAGAAATTCAAATATTTAATTAGTTATACTCCGATTCAAATGAAGTATCTTCAGAAGATACATATAAGAATGAGAGAAGTTTAATTAAAAGAAAATTAAGAGAATAAGGATAATTAGTGTGGTGGGGGAAAAAGAGAATGAGAGAAGTCTCGTACTTCAATTTACTTTAAAGAAGCAGTAAAGGAATGGAGTGTGGGGAAGAGCTGGTGGACGAAAAAAAGAGAGGAGGCTTCACCGAAAATTGAGAAGAGTGGAGGACGGTGGAATGGTGGAGGCGGTGGGGGGTTTAAATAGGAGGGAGGATAAAGTGCTATGCAGTGGACACGAATAAAAACAAAAATAATAAATAAATAAATAAATAAATAAACATGAGAGAGTGTGCCTACTATGGGAAGAAAAAAATGGGTCGTATGAGGGCCTCTTATATGAAAAGCCCCTATGAGGGCAATTCATATAAAATGCCCTCCATGGAGGCAATTCATATGAAACACTTCCAATGAAGACATTTATGCTACTATTTAAATTTTTGTTTTTTTTTTTCATGATTCTTCCACTTAAAAAAATTATAAACATGTGCATTTATATAATTTGACCCTGTTTTCGTAGTACACATTTGTGAATAACTACTTGACTTCTAGTATGAAGATCCCTATGCCAATGAAAGCACGCTACTAAAATTATGCATCATATACTAATTTGAATGTCTTTATTTAACTTATGTTTTGTTTAGTAGGCCTTGATATAATTTCTTTCACTGAAAGGGTTCAAAGCTGTGTAGAAGCACGTGAAGATAATGTGCAATTGCACCATTTCATTCCAAAAGCCTGGATTTAAGCACTGTTAAGCCAGAAGACAGATTAAAAAAAAAAGCATCAGAGAGAACAATACAGATCCAACACAAACATCAATCCTTTGACACCAAAAAGAAAATGTTTTGATATTCCTGCAATTTACGTCTAGCAATGCATTCATATTGTAAATAAAAACAACCACTACAGTCATTTATAACCAATATATAGTTCTTGAAGTTGCCCGTCTTCACAGGGACACAAAATAATAGCAAACAATGTCTTTTTTTTTCTATTAACTCAGTTAACCTCACCAGCCTTTGCCAATAAGCCACAACCAGTCTAATGCAACACCAGAAAATAAACCACCTAAAAGAAACATGACTAGTACATTTCCCAAAGCATTCGCCTCCGGTCCCTGCACAAGAAACCTCATTAGCACTCCAAGGTGCATGTTAATATCAAGATTATGGAGATATATTATAATTTACACAGCTAACCTTGTATCCCTTGGGTGCTTCAGTAAGAACACAAACAGTGAGATGACCGTTAGTCAGCCCTAACAAGGATGTTAACAAGATCATCCAACCTTGCCCTCCATATTTTGCAGTGAAATAGAACGCAGGAATGAATAGAAAACGTGAAAGAATGGCAATTAGAAGGCCCTTCCGTGATACTATTTTAAGGCATTTTATCATAGGTGTGTATCTTCCAATGAGGTCCAGGACATTATACATTGCGATCAAGACAAGAACATACCTGAAAATTTTGACAATATATCTTTATTATTTACTCTGGCTATAAAAAGGTGGAAAAACAGAAGCTTACCATGATCCCAGGGCATGATTTCCAGTATCCTCGGACAGAAATCCAGGGAAAATTGATAGTGTCAGAACATAAATAAGATACAAGCCCAACTCATAATCCAAGTTCTGCATCAGAAGCTGTCTAATGGTCAAGCGTTCGTGGTGCTTTGGATCTTCTTCGGCCTAAATTCGGTGAAAAATGTACATTTATTCATAAAACTTTATTACAATGCCATAAAATTTTCAAAAAAAGGAATTAAAGGAATCAAAAGATACATACCTCTAGTTCATTCTGCAAATGGATTCCAGCAGCTGCGAGGTCAGCAGAAACAGTCTTTGATCCTTCTGAAGCTGCCTTTGAACGATAATACTTCACAATTGGAATTTTCGGAAAGATATATGCATAGAGCAGAACACATAGCAGCTCAAAAAATGATGAGACTGCAAAGAACATCACTGCAAAAAAGCAATTAAATTTAAAAAATTGGTCATGAAAAAAAAATTAAAATAAAAAATTGGTTTTCCAAGTAGTTGATAGGAGAAAGCATTTGGATTAAGAATTTAGCAAATTTTACATACTCGCTCCCTTTCGAAGCCCGTCATTGGTGTGTTCAAAAGCTGCCTTTGTAATCAGCCTCAAAGCTGATGTTAAAGCTCCAGATGCTGCCAAGCCAGCTAAAAATGACTGTGAATTCCCAAGAAAACACGTTAAAAGAAAAATTAGTCAATAAATTCGAATATTAACAATCCTCAAAGTCAATGAATATGAATAATCTACCTGAATGAACTCTGGTTCCATGAAGGCCAAATCACCAACCATGCCCCCTTGAACATTAGCATCAGCGACACCAAAAGCTGCACTAATAAGGCATATACCAATGAAGGCTCCAACACCACCTTTCCCAGAAGTTGCCAAATCTAACTGGAATATAGGCAAACGCATTCATCAATTTTATGTAATTATGATGAAATATTGAAGTTTTAGTTGATGAATTTCAAGAGAATTCACATGTTAAAAATTTACTTACAATGATTACGAGAAATGAGCTTATGAAAAAGAGCGTGTAGCCAAGAATGTTCCTCATTCTGGTATTGAGCTTTGCTTCATGATATGTGAGTATTGCAATGGTTATGAAGGCAAAAGGCTGATAAACAAGAGTGAGCATTCTTGTCGGATGGTATCTCTGAAATTTTAAGAAAGATATCAAGATATTAGTCTAGTGAATAATGATTTCAAAGCTCTAGCTGCAAGTTCATTGTGAAAGTTAGCGTGTTTCATTACTAATCAATCTATCAAATGTTTTCTATTTTGAAGAATAAATAAAACTGCATCTACACAAGATCACAGGAGAAAGCAAAAACTTTAGGATTTATAACTCAAAGTTGCTTATAAAAAGAAGGCTTTGAAAAACAGAAAATGTTCAAAATTCAGAGGTTGAATCGGGGTTTGAACCGGTTAATATAATAAACATTAAAATTATTCAAATATGATTTAAGAAAGTATAATATTTATATAATATGTATATTACATTTATTTTAAATTTAAAAATTTATAAGATAAATATAGAAAAAAATAAATTTATGATATGTTCTATCAATCATTGCAACTCAATTCTCACAGCCGAGCCCAAATTTCGAAGCTTGGCCCAAGCCAATTTTCATAGCCCTGTCCAGTTCTTCAATCCTATAGTGATTCACATAATTCATTTAGTCCCATTATAAAGGGGAGAGTTAACAATATAAACTTTAAATTGGAAAACAAAGGTGAACTTATAGCTTATTTTGTTGGTGGGCATATTAGTCTTAATTTGCTTGTTGATTGATTTTTATATCATGCATGATAATTTTAAAATAATTTAAAATTTAAACATTATATTTTATGTTTAATAAATTTAATCACAACAAGTTATACCATTGATTAATATTTATTAAAAGCTCAAAAAAATTAGACCAGACATTATTTTACAATACTTACATGAACCAGTAGTTTCTTTCAAACCACTACCAGTGCACTGGTTGAACCACTGGTCTGTGGTGGTTCGAGACTGTCCGGTGTGGGAGATAATTTTTTTATGTACCAGAAAAACCGGGCTTATGATCAATTCATTGTAGAATCTATATTCTTTTCCGATTGTCCAAACCATGTATAAAATCATATGTTGTCAAGCAATTAAGATAAGCTCTTAATTTACGCAACATAGTCCTTCATAATAATAGACTCCCATTTTGCAGACTTTAGAATAGGCTAAAGAAAGAAAAATACTAAATAACAGGGGCCAGAGTTGATAGAGGTGCATACCGGGAATACTTGAGCATAGTAATCTACAATTGTTAACATACTGTTCCATGAAATAAGAGATCCATTTCCTAAGAACCAGCAAACTACGATTGCAGCAAATCTCCCCTGTGCAGCCATAAATCATTTAAGCACTCATAAATCAACACAAATAATTATATGAACTTAAGAAAATAAAATTCAGCAACCTTCTTTGTTACTGCTTCCTCACTCCCGGTATTCATACCCATGATTGCTTTGCTTCACCTTCTCCTTCACACGTGTTATGTAACAAAAGGTTTAGACGCAAATATAATGGCCTAGTAGTTTGGATAACTGGTTAGAACAAAGACAACAAACAGGAGATTGCAAGTTTATTCTTGGGTGTTGAAAAAAATTTAAATTAAATGTTCTGCTGAACTTTCACACGTAGACAGAGCAACTTATGCAACTTCCAACCTTATATTTGATAAGTTGCTCCGTAGTAAGATGAGATATTGAAGTAAAATTAAATGGAGAAGAAGGTAAGGGCTCCAGGAAAAGGAAAGAAAATTTCTACATCAAACTAGAGGAATCCTTAGCAAGAAAGAATAAAAATATGCGATCGAAATAGTTTGGAAGAAGACATCCATTACGGAAAAAAGAAACTCTTTACTCAAAAGATGATATTTTTCATGATTTAGATGCGCTCTCATATGTCCAAGAAGTCCAAAACATAGATTCTACCAGAGAAGTTCACCAAATAAAAATAAAAAAAAAGCAAAATCATTGGAACTCTCGCATGATTAATTCATTTAAAGCAATACATGTCGGCCTGATATAAATGATTTATAAAAAGCATCTTCATCAACATCAAAACGGCCAGATGCAGAAAAATCAAAATTCTTCTTTGATGCAGAATCGAAGTAGTCACCGGAAAGCCCTAAATCCCAAAAGCGAAGGAAAACCCAGAATATAATCTGCAAGGCTCCGGAGTCAATAAGGACTCGAACTACCTGAAAAATTAGAAATTTGGAGCGATGATAAAGAGAACAATATAACAGGGCGAAGAATGTGAACTGAGCCGGATTCGAGGAACTACGCACGGTTAGAGAGATTCAGGAATCTTCATATCCTACAAAAGAATTCCTTAAAAACAAAGATAAGGATCAAATGGGAAAGCAGAGCTGGATGGCAACGGCTATTTTTGGCAAGTGAATATGCATTTCAGATTAAAATTTCAAACAGCGGGGGAGAGATCATAAATAGTAAAAGGAAAAATTGGCAAACATATGGCGGGAGCGGACTTGTCGCAGTCTGAAATCTCAATCCTCATCAATTTTCCGACAGAAATCTTATTTTGGTAAGAAATAAATAAAAAACTAAATACAAAAAAGGCATCCAGAGACCTGCACATTAAAATATGCTTAAAATATTGATATTTATTTAGTAAGAGTTCTATTAAATTTGTCAAACATTATTATTAAAAATACAAAATCCTTTTTTACCATAAAATAAAGTTATTATTTTTATATGGCTAAATATAATCAAATCAATTTTCTTTTCTTTCTCAAGTAGGAATTAAATTCAAATCAAAGTTGTAAAGCTGGTTAATAGATTTATTTTTTCTATATAATATATTGCAAATGTTAGATGTTAAAAATATGATACTTATAGGTATACGAAGTGTTGATACGTAAGAAAAATAAAAAAAAAATGTATTTAATAATAATTTTTAATTTTATTTAATTGGAATAATATTTTTTTTTTTGTAAAATGTTTGTGATTAAAGTAAATTTATAATATGATTTCATTTCAAAAAATGAGTACATTATACTCCTGAAAAATCATTGGAATTATATAAGTGAGCCAATTAAGTTTGGAGAATTTCATGCAAATTTCTGCAAGCAAAAAAATTCTGTTTATTTGATTAAATTATGATATGGCATGCATTTTTTTATTTTTTTGTAAATAAAAAGTTTTTCCTCTAATAATACACATATTATATACAACAACAACAATAACATTTTTATCTTACTAAGTGGGGCAGGCTAGATGAATATTTTTATTTTATTGAGTCCTATTGATTGTCATATTTTCATTTAATAATGTCATTGTTGAGTCTCAAGTTACGAATGCTCAAAGTTGAGGGTTGTGTTAGGTGTTCGACAATTGATGTAAAATTTGTCAAGAAAACATGACATGAATACACATATTTAAATGAATAAAATTTCTGATATAAGAAATTTTTCTAGATTTTTTTTAGATATGACAATAAATTTAGATATTAGACATAAATATATTTCTTGAAATGTAAGATTTTTAGGTACAAATGTAAATAAGTCATGTTTATGTGAGCTCATTTGCTGTGCAACTTAGCTTGTCAAATGTTAAGTTAATGAACCAAAAATATTAATTTATATTGGCATGTTGCGGGCTACGAAGATTTAGACCATACCCTTTTAATTATATGAGTGGTCTAGGCTATTTCTTAGAAAACAAATTAGATATTTGATAAAATACAACCCAAATATTTTGTCAATTATGAGGACATTAAGATTTAGTCCAAGATTTATCATAACCACTAATTTTAATAATCAGTTATTACTTTTGATTATAACAGATAACTTTGGATTAAGATAATCTGGTATTCCCTAAAGTTCTAGGCTTGGTACGTAGCAAACTAGCAATGATTTGATATGAAAAAATGATTATATACTTTGTTAATTTAAGGAAAAAAGTGGGAAATAAAAACAAACTTGATCGAGAATCTCATTAGTAGGTCTAGTCTGCTCAGCAAGTAGGGATAGTTGATTCAACTTGATTATGAGTTATATGTCATCCCAATAAAATGTCATAAGAGATGCCCATCATACGCCCCTATGAAGTGGATGATGTGGTTTCAAGATGAATGACTCTGACAGTTAAGCTATGACTATATAGCTCTATTGTTAGCACAATGAGCAATTTTTGCACATCTAAGAGAAGAGCATTAAATCATTGTCTTACTGTTAAAATGAATATATATATATATATATATATATATTGAAATTTTGATAAACTGTCAAAAAATTTCAAAAAAATTTGTTAAATGTTCTGTGATGATCCCTTTAATCATATACCATTCTTTTAAAAATTAAGTGATTTAATGATCACAATAATCAAAAGATCATACATTTGTTGGTTTCCTTTCATTGACCTTCTTGATATAGCTATAACAACTTTAAATTTAAATATCATTTGACATTTTAATTAATACATGAAGCTTATAATCGTGTTTTTAAGTGTTTGATTTGTGCTTATTTGATATTGCATCAAAACAAATTCAGCACGGTTAAATATTATTATACATTCAATTTAACTATGAGTTTTCTAAACTTGGAGCACCTATGTGATTGGATTTGCCTCTATAGGTTATATATCATATAAAATGCACCTAAAAGCATGCTTGTTTATGTGGATTATTTTTTTTTATAAAATTCTAACGACTATAAATATTCTATCTATATTATAATGTCATGTATCTAATCTTTATAACTTTGTTATACATCAATTCTAATTTAATGAAATGAGATATACGTAAGTATGGATGCACATCTCTCTTCTCTTTCAAACAAGTTGTAAAGGTGAAGGTCAATTAATTAACCCGTAAAGTGACCGAAGGTTAAAGCTTACATAATTTGGCGTCACAATGAATGGTTTCAATTTTTTTTTTTTTTGAAGGAAATGGTTTCTCTATTTGATGGCTCAAATAAGAACTAAAGGAAATATATGACAATTGAAAGTTAAAGACCTTCATAATAGTATTGATGCATATTGCATGGACTAATGACAACCAAATTAAATGGCTTAACATAGTTGTTCTCAAGTTGTCAAAATCTCTCTCTCTCTCTCTCTCTCTCTCTATGTGTGTGTGTGTTGATACGCCATCAACAAACTTTCACAAGCTGACACGAATCTTGAAGCATGACATGTATCTCAAGATATTATTTCGAGCAACGAATATTCTAACTTCAATTGATAATTATTCATAAACTTTGAGTTCGGCAAAATCATAATCAAACTGACCGACTTGACTAGACATACTCAATGAACCTGTAATTAATTCAATTCAAGTAAAATCAAATCCATATTGGGCCATTAAGCCATTTTTAGAAGCTTATAGCAATCAGTTAGAAGGTTCAATAAATTACAAATCTGTCAATCTATAGTCAAATCAAGCATCTCGAGGTTATCACAGCTCTTGCAGCTCCCAACTCTAACATCCATAGCTTGCAGATGCTATCACAATTTATGTAGCTCACAACTAGGGCATTTGAGACCTACAAATATTATTACAATTTTGTGATATGATCTATGTGACAAACTACGGTCTATGCTACTCTCAACTCAAGCCAACTCTCGCGTCTGGGCCTAAGGATAATATCACAGTTAATGCAACCCTTAACTCTGGTCCTTCTGGCCTACTCACTTTATTACAGCCCGTCGTTAAATCCTACGTGATAAATTATGATCTACACAGTTCTCAGCTTATGCAACCCCCAACTCAAACCCTTGTGGCCTATGAATGTCATTACAGTTCCCTAATATGGCCTCCATGGTCAATTGACGCTCCTAAAGCAACCATTTACAACCCACATTACCAACTAGGCAACTACTACCATTGTTTTCAACTACGACATCTACAACAAGCTGGCGCAACAACTACCGTCCATAAGATTTATAGCGAAATATTGTCTCTATAACAATAGACTACGACCTTCGTGACAAGTTATGTTTATTATTGTTAAAAGATTGGTGTCCGTTAAATTTGTAATTTCATCTTCCCTAAATGAGAAGAAAAGTGGCTTATGTACACAAAAATACACAGTGGATTATTTAACTGGGTCAGACCATGTGATTTTTTTCCATTTTAAGAGTTTTCCACATAAAAATTCAGGTGTTTTCTTGTGTTATTTTTTTATTATTTGAGTGTGTGCTAGATTCTCGCACAACCCTAAGACGATAATTCATTATTTTACCATTGCGAATCTTCTTGCACACATCATATATATATATATATATATATATATAGAGAGAGAGAGAGAGAGAGAGAGAGAGAGAGAGAGATTAGCAAGAAAAAGGAGGGAGATAAATATTTATATCATGTATTTATCTCATATTTAGTGGAATAAATGCCTCCATGCAACCATGAATATAGGCATACTTGAGAAAAAAATATATGGAAATTTTGCCTTTTAATTTTTGATTTATTTCTTATAAATTTTATTCTCTCAGTCTCATTAGTATTGCTTCAAGGCATCATTTTAACTTAAATAATGCACACATGATCACAAAAATATGAACATGCCCCAAATATTATAAATTGAGGAAAAGGTGGTATATCTAAGATTTAAAAAAAGAAAATAATTGCTTATGAAATTACATCAAGAAAGCATATTTTAACGTAGGGGGGAATAGCAATCATTTTGACAAGTAAAGATGTTCAAAACGCCTCATAGATCAGAAATCTTTCTTTCGCATACATTATTATTATCATTTATAACATAAATTTGTGAAGAAATTTCACATGCAATATATGTCCAAAAGCTGAATAATGAAAAATTTTCATTTCACGAAATTCCATCAGATTCACTATGGAATGATGACACAAGACATCAAAATAAAAAGAAAAGAAGAAAATTTAAATTGGAAATATATAAAAGAAGCAAGGCGAGCGAGTGATTCCACAACAGCGAGAAGCAGAAAGTTGAAGAAAAAAGATCACGCACACGCACTTAATTTTCATGTGGCTTTCAAAGTCGTGAAGAAGGGAAACATTGGGAGATGCAACAGCACAAGCTTTCGAAATCATGTTGGTCTTTGCATGTGATAAGAGGGCAGCGTAGCATTCAATCCCATCCCATCCCATTCTTTTCATATCAATATATATATATATA